TATATAGACAACGGAATAGTATTCAGCCTTCAAAAGGAAGGGAATTCACTACAATATGCATGAGCCTGGAGGACATTATGCTGAGTGAAATTGAGACAGGAGAATAGGGCCTGGAGGCAGGGAACCTAAGGACTTCCTAGAACTAAATCGAATGGAAACACTTCAGATATGACAGGAAATATCCTCTTCATTTACACAGGGCGTACACTCAGTAAATGACTTTGTAACGTTACTTCATCCTCTTCATTTACATAGGGTGTACACCAAGTAAATAACTCTGTAACTTCACTTTAGCCTCTTCATTTACATAGGGTGTACCCCAAGTAACCAGTGAACACCTCTAGAGGGTATTTAAACCCCAGAAAACTCTGTAACTGAGCTCTAGAACCCTATGCTCAGGCCCGCTCCCACCCTGTGGAGTGTACTTTTGTTTTCAATAAATCTCTGCTTTTATGGCTTCATTGTTTCCTTGTTGTGTTTGTGCGTTTTGTCCAGTTCTTCGTACAAGATGCCAAAAAGCTGGACACCCCCCACCCATAACAAAATAAGCCAGTCACCAAAGGACAAATACTGTATGGTTCTGGTGAGGTACCAAGAGTAGCTAAACTCATACAGACAGAAAGTACAATGCTGGTTGCCAGGGTCTAGTAGGGAGGGAGAATGGGGAGTCGGTATTTGATGGGGACAGAGTTTCCGTTTTGCAAGATGAAAAGAGTTCTGGATATTGGTTGTACAACAACATGAATGTACCTAACACTGCTAAACTGTACACATAAAAAAATGATTAAGCTGATAAATTTCATGTTACATGTATTTTATCACAACTTTAACAAAGAATAAAATCCTGAGCCACAAAATACTGTGTGTGTACGTGTGTGTGTGTGTGTGTGTGTCTGTCTGTATGTTTAGTCTGAATTTTAAAGATACTATTAAAAGCTTTAAAATTATTTAAAAATTTTTAAATGTATATATTTAATATATTTATTTATATTATTTAATATATTATATTATTTATTTAACATATTAAATATAAAATCTTTGCATCTTTTAGTCTTCTCCTCTCATCTTTTCTTTTGGTCACACACAGCTTCATGGGGAATGTAGATGGCAACAGACAAGTCAAGTCTGAATATTGCTTTATGGTTATGATCCGAGAAATACTGGGCTGTTCATAAGTATATTTAAGTACTAATGTGCGTATGTTCACAGTTTTAAGCCAATTTCAATTATTTCTTTTTAAAATTTTTTTAATTGATACAAAATATTTTACATATTTATGGGGTACATGTATTTGTTACATGCATGGAATGTGTAATGATCAAGTCAGGGTATTTGGGATGTCCAGCACCTTGAGTACTTACCATTTCTATGTGTTGGGAGCATTTCAAGCCCTCTCTTCTAGCAACTTTGAAATATACAATATAATGTTGCTAACTATAGTCACCCCACTCTGCTCTCAAATATTGGAGTTCATTTGTTCTGTCTAATTGTATGTTTGTACTCATTAACCAACCTCTTTCATCTCCACTCCCATCCATACACCCTTCCTAGCCTCTGGTATCTATCATTCTATTCCTTATCTCCATGAAATCTCTCTTTTTTTTTTAGCTTCCACACATGAGTAAGAACGTGTGGCATCTGTCTTTCTGTACTTGGCTTATGCCATCTAACATAATGACCTCCAGTTCCATCCATGTTGCAGTAAATGACATAATTTCATTCTTTTTCAGGCCAAATAGTATTCCATTGTGTGTGTGTTATATATACACACATATATATGTGTGTGTGCGCTATATATATACACATATATATGTATGTGTGTGTTTATATATGTGTACGTATGTGTGTATATATACACACATATATGTATATATGTATATATACACACATATATGTATATATGTATATATACACACACATATATGTATATACACACACATATATGTATATACATATACATACATATGCATATATGTATATATGTGTATACATACACACACACATACACACACATATATATACACACCACATTTTCTTTACCCATTCATCCATTGATGGCCACTTACGTTGATTCCACATCTTTGCTATTGTGAATAGTTCTATGATAAGCACATGAGTGTATGTATCCCTTTGATACAAGTTTATTTGCCTTGGGATAAATACCCAATAGTAGGATTGCCGGATCATATGGTAATTCTATGTGTAGTTTTTTTTTTTTTTTTTTTTTTGAGATGGAGTCTAGCTCTGTCACCCAGGCTGTAGCACAGTGGCGTGATCTTGGCTCACTGCAAGCTCCGCCTCCCAGATTCACGCCATTCTCCTGCCTCAGCATCCCAAGTAGCTGGGACTACAGGACCACCACCATGCCCGGCTAATTTTTTGTATTTTTAGTAGAGACAGGGATTCACTGTGTTAGCCGGGATGGTCTCGATCTTCTGACCTCTGATCCACCCACCTTGGGCTCTCAAAGTGCTGGGATTACAGGCGTGAGCCACCGTGCCTGGCCTGTTTTTGTTTTGAGGAGTCTCTCTACTATTTTCCATAGTGACTATACTAATTTACATTCCCACAAATAGTGTGTAAGAGTTCCCCTTTTTCCTGCATCTTTGCCAGCATTTTTAAAAAAATCTTTTTAATATAGCCATTCTAGCTGTGATAAGATGGTATCTCACTGTGTTTGTAATTTGCACTTTCCTGCTATTTGGTGATATTGAGCATTTTTTCATATACCTGTTGGCCATTCGTATATCCTCTTTAGAGAAATGTCTGTCTATGTTCTTAGCCCACTACTTAACAGGATTATTTGTATGTTTGGTTTACCAGTGAGTTTTATACTTTTGTGCATTTTTATGATGGTAAATATTGTCCTTTTACTTCCACGTTTAGGATTCATTTGAGTACTTCTTCTAGGATTAGTCTAGTGGTGATGAATTCCCTCAGTGTTTGCTTACCTGGGAAAGGCTTTATTTTTCCTTTATTTATGAAGGATAGTTTTGCTGGACATGGTCTCCTTGGGTGGCAGTACTTTTTTTTCAGCACTTTGAAAATGTCATCCCCTTCTCTCCTGGACTGTAAGGTGTCTGCTGAGAAGTCCACTGTTAGTCTAATGCTGCTTCCTTTATGGGTGATGAGAAGCTTTTCTTTTGCTGTTTTTAGTATATTTGCTTTTGCTTTGATTTTAAGCGGTTTGATTGTAACGTGCTGTGGAGAAGATGATTTTGCATTGTATCTGTTGGGGACTTTTGGGCCTCCTGTATCTGGATGTCTAGGTCTGTTGTTAGATTTGGGAACTTTTGATCTAATATTTCATTAAATAGGATTTCTAATCTTTCATTCTCTCTTCAACCTTGGGAATATTGATGATTTGAATATTCAGTTGCTTTGCACTGCCCCATATATCATGAAGGGTTTGCTCATTCTTTTTTATTCTTTTCTCTTTATTTTTGTCTGAATAGATTGTTTCAAAAGACCTGTCTTCAAGTTCTGAGATTCTTTATTTTGCCTAA